GTCTTCAACTATGTAATTTTTACCCAATTTAGTCTTCTGTGTTAATTTGGCTGTTTGTTGACTGTCAAAAGTGGTGATAAAGTTATAATTTTACAAGCTTTCTCATTCCTCTCCATTTAGCAACGCCAAACCATGCAACAATACGCTCCGATCAGCTTCCGGTTGTCAAAAAATCGTTAGAAATTAAATCATTGGGCTCTCCGATGCACAACCACTGCTTCGACACTGACAGGTTTGGAAGCCGACCGGAGCTTATTGTTGCATGGTTTGGCGCTGCTAAATGAATAGGAAGAAGAAAACTTGTAAATTACAACTTTATCCCCTCTTTTGACAGTCAACTAACATTCAAATTAACAAAGGACTAAATTAGGTAAAAATTATATAGTTGAAGACTTAATTGAGTAAGAATGATAGTCGAGAACTAAATTGGTAATTACGACATAGTCGAGAGACCATTTTGGTTATTAACTCAAAAATGGCACAATACTAATAAAAAGAAATTTGAGTTAATTACTTTTTTAGTCCAAGACTTATTAGAGATTGTGTCAAATTTTAGCCACCCTTATTAGGGGTTAGACACTTTAAATCTCCTGTCACATTTTTTGTGATATTTTAGGTAGTTGGCTGCCACCTAGCGTGATTTTTGCAACAATACTATTCGTTGACTACCTTCTTCGACTCCTTAATAAATTTCGGACTAAAAAAAGAATTAACTCAATAAATTTTCTAGTTAAAAGGGGTTGTTGAATAGGTAGGACATGATTATCATATTTGAACGTTATGAGTTTGAGACATTTTGATATAGGACTCATTTTTAATGCATTATAAATTCATTTTCAGTGTATTGGAAATTAATTGAACTTATAATACACTAAAAATAAATCAACAATATACTAAAAGCAACATATATTTAAATGTTCATCTTATTACGTAGCCCCTAGTCCTCGATATTAGCATGGCAAATTATACTGCGAATCATGATTTACATTACAATGTGAACTAAGAATTCATGTTCATTTTTAATATATTGAAAGTATATTATGTGTGTTATTTTTGTATGTAGGTTCCTGTAAAAGTGTGTACATCAAAATTTCAATAATAAAAATTAGGAGTAGAGAATGAGATTACATATAATATTTCCCATAAATATGGTCAATAGTTCACCTGTCAATGTGAACCATCTTAAAAGTATAATGATTGACCCGATGATGGTCCATGGGTTGGCCAAGCCTGACCCAACTCACTGGGCCTTTGGTTGGGCTCTACATCTGAAATTGGGCCGAAGGGTTACATGGCTTAGTGGATCATGGAGCAATTATGACTAGCAATTGTTAAGTCATGGACCTGAGTTTACCTTGCAAAGTGGATCGATGTTCAAAAATCAAAACGATGCAGTTTGCGCATGTGAAAATAACGCATTTGAATATAGAGTTTTGTAATTTTGTATATTGAAATCTAAAATTGTGAAAATTCAGTTCTAAAATTATGAATATAGAGTTCTAAAATCGTGAATATAGTGTTTTGCAATTGTGAATATTGAATTTTGTAATTTTGTATATTGAGATCTAAAATTGTGAATATTCAATTCTAAAATTGTGAATATAGAGTTTAAAAATTATAAATATAGAGAAATGAATTCTGAAGACAAACAGAAAAAAATGAATGATTTTATTTTAAAATTCAAACAACGTCGTTGTAAAATGATGCCGTTTTGAACTCGGTTCTACCTTGCACAGCATAATTTGCCTATGACTAGGGAAGCCCTGTGTACATTAGTGCTCTGGCCTGTCGCCACTCGCCATGTTGTTATATATACAGATATGTTTTATCAATATATTATTGTTTTTATGAGGTTGCAAATGAATTATAGTTGAACAAATTTAGGTTGCGGTCCTATCAAATTCATAGCAACATCACTATAAACGGTGCAATATTATAAGCAAAAATAAGGACACGTAATATGATTGCCCTCAACACATGTCCTGTTGCTATTGAAGCCATAGCTTCCTAGTTCCTAGTACATAACCAATATCTTTGACTTCGTCTTGGTACTTTGAACACAACCCAAACAAGCTTTCGAATGTATTGTACTGTTCACAAAAAAAAAAAAAAAAAAAAAAAAAGATTTCTATCAGCCACACCAATTTCAGAAGAGATTCGACCGCACCACCGAAATTGGTGCGACGTAAACCAGTGATCACATGCAATCTACACAAAAAATATGGCTGACAATTGGGGAATTGGGAGAACTGATAAGGACTTGGTGGAAAGCTTTTTGGAATTTATTTGGCACCAATTAATATCTTCCAAGTCTATATCCTCTATCATCACTCAAATAAAAACAAAACAGACTCGAAATTTAGCATAGTTGGATCATTGCATGACTTAAAAATCAAACGAGAGGCAACAATGTGGATTCAAATTCACTATAAACAAGTAAAGCAACATGTATAAAAAAAAGACCCAATAATTCAAATATATCGACAAAATTAGAATCACCCAATTTAAAAAAATAAAAACAAAACAATAAAATTTATTTTTTTAAAAAAAATTAAGAGAGAAAAATCATTCTAAGTATAATGTTAGGAACTCATCTATCAATAGATTGAAACAGCAACACGCACCTCAAAGCACTGAAAAAGTGGGGCGTAAGATAATGTAATGTAATGTTATGATATGATTAACATTGAGAGAATGATGAAGGGCGGTGCAGCGTCCCTTATGGTTTCAGAAAGGGTATGCACTCATCCTTAAATTATTAATAAAGGTAGTCCACAATCATATATCATATATGCTCCGTTTATTTTATATAATATAATAATATTTGTGTTGGGAAATGTCGTTGCGTGACGGTCGGACGTTAATTTGCTATCGGAGCTGGAGCATATGTACGAGGTGGCACATGGGAAACATTATTCCCGTGTAAACTGCACCACCCAAAATGGGACGTAACTCCAACAACTTGTCCGGTTGGCGGAGGTTCTACCCAACTCCGAAGGTGCCCAGCCGCCCTTATCCTCCTCCACTGCTCTTTTCACTTTTCACGCATATATCATTCATTGTTACTGCCCTCTCTCTCATGTTTATCACTTTGTTTCCAAGGTTCATCTTCGAAATTTCATTTTTATAATCATAACTTTTACCTATATTTTTATAACACCTGATTGAGAATCTATCACGTTCCCTACCTTGACAACTTTTTTTTTTTTTTTTTTTTTTTTTTTTAATAAATCATTCTTAATCATATGTTGGTTTTACAATTATCGGGAGTAGTCAATTGACAAGACAATGTGACTGACTAGATGAGAAATGAAATACGAAAGAGCAGACAAATAAATAATTGAAAGGTAAAAAAAAACAAACAAAAGACAGAGTATTTTTAAAGTGGAAACTGAATGATGAAAACTATACCTTTTTGGGCGGTGTTTAAGTCAAAATTTCACTATATTTTGTATATAGTCATTACATGTACAATTGTGTTTTTCTAGAGAGATGTAGAGGTAGAGAGGTGAAGATGGTTGATTGAGCCCCCTTCTTTATATCTGACTATGGTTTTTTATAGTGGAAGAATAGCACTGCATTTGGTAATGTGATTGGCTTACGGTAATCGAGTATTTGTGGTAGAGTGAAATATTTTAGGAAATATAAATATATTTAGGTAGTGGAGGTGATTTAGGGAATAAAATGATATTTAAGAAAGTAGTTATATAAGTTGACTTGCCTAATCTCGTGATTGTCACTTTAATACATTCTTCCCCGTCAAAGCTGACTCGTTACTTAAGTTGACTGGCTGCCAAGACTGATTGATCACGAACCGAGTGCCAAGTGCCAAGTGCTAGGTCCGACTAGCTGACTACCATGCCTGACTGACTGCTAATGGTGTTGATCAGGTACCTATGTTGAGTATCCATCAAATAGTTTGATACTTAACAACAATTAAAAAAAGGTACATTTTATGAAAATAACGTTGCAGACTAAAGATATCTTATGACGATGACTATTAGAGATGCTATCATCCTCGAGAATTGGTTATGTTGGGTGTGTATGGCATATTGAAGATGGAAATTTTGGATCGAATGAAAATAAAGAAGATGTCTTATCACCTGCATTTTCTAAAAAAAGAAAACTTAACTCTTATCTTTTTATACATATTTTCTCAATCCTACATCATGGTAACTCAACTGAACATTTGCTTACTGCGCACAAGGAGCCCCCCTCACTTTGAGAGGTAGCTCCCACACTGACACTGATGAGACTTGATCCTTGGTCACTCTTCCAACTTTTTACCTCTATGACCAATTGAGCTGCCTATGCTGATATATTTTCTCAATCCTTTGAAGCACGGAAAGATGTAGTTCAAATACATTTATACATATTTTCTCAATTCTTTGAAGCACAGGAAAATGTAGTTCATCTTACACTAGTTGATCAGAGACCTGCGTAGTGCTTCTCATCCTTATTTAATAACATGATTCTTTTTTCCTTTTTTTAGAATAAAAGTTTATTTCATTAAATCATCAATCAGCAAGACAATGAACAAGACAAGGAGGAGGGACATTTAGCCACACACTGTAACCTGATTCAAAAATGCCCTCCCGAATTATAATGTGAGCAGTGTAAGTCACATATCACTTTACAAAACGAAACTCAATATCCATAACTGAGGATGCTAATTCTTTAATACATGATTCTTACATATCTTAACGATATTATGATATGTATAACAAATCATGTTCAACAATTCTAGAAACAAAATCGTCCTCTGACGATAGTGATATCCACAACATTCTTAAAACACAAATATTTGCGTGGACTGAATGATAACACACACGATGATTATGACATCATAAATCTCTAGATTCATGAAATTTATGATATCTTTGCAATTTAAAAAAATAGAGAAAGAAACCGCCATTGACGAGAACGGGCCCACTTCCTGTAAACCCACAAAACAAAGAATCTAGCGGTCGACCTCTGCCTCTCAACGCCTATATAAATGGACGCTTATTTCTCCAGAATCCTCACTCCTCCAAACTCCAACCCTAGAGACTAAACTAAAGAGACAGCAGGTTTCGTCTCGCCGCAGCGGGAGAGAGTAAAGCCATAGCTAAGCCTTCCGCCGCGGCAGCGTTACTTCCACCGTCAATTTCTCTGGGGGGATCAGATGGCTCGTTCTATCTCCAACGCCAAGTTCGTCTCTGCTTTCGTGCTGGACAGAGTCTCTGTTTCCGCTACCAGGTATTTAACTTATGGTGTTATTAGATCAAGAAAACATGGGATTTCATGAATTGGTTTATGAAACGTTTGGATGATTTGTTCTCACGCAGGAGCTATACGGCGGCGGCGGCGGCGCAGGGATCTGTTTCCGGCGTAGCAGGGAGGAGCAACGCGATGCTGAAGAAAGGAGGAGATGAATCGGGGAAGAGCGCCACCTCCTGGATTCCGGATCCCGTCACCGGATACTACAGACCGGAGAGCCACGTTAACGAGGTCGACGCTGCCGAGCTGCGTCAGATGCTCTTGAAGAATACCACTAGACAACATTAAACCACATCAATCTTTACTACTTTCCTAATACTATGTTGTTCCGCTGATATGATGTTTGCTTCCTATACTAGCAACCCCGCCCAGACATATACTGGTTCGGGGAAAGAATAGAATGAATTTGTATTTCTTTTTCATTTTTCCGGCTTCTTAATAGAATTACCTACTACCTAGCATTTGATGAAAACAGATTCTTCAATTCCATGTAGAGTTCTTTGAAGATTAAACATTTAAACAACAGTAAAGAACCAAAGAACTGCAAACTACATACGCAATTCTGATATAATAATACTAACAGAGAAACAGAGATTCTTAATTACCGTTCCGAAACACCTCTATAATGTTCAGCAACTGGAACAGAATTTGCAGTTTCTCGCCATTGAAGCTGGTGAGCCTGTTACAAGAAGACGAAAGCAAACGTTAGTTCGGGCTGTGGGCCTAGTGGGCTAGTGAGGACTTGGACCATGGAGCCATCACACGGCCCAAAACTCTAATGTTATTATCCACTGAGAAGGCAGGAATTGGGTGGGCCCAAAACGAGATTGTACTGACGTCTTTTCTGCAAATCTACGAGACTGTGCAGCAAACAAACAAGAAACAACAATTCCACGAATCCAAAGAAGGATCAAATTCAGAAGAATTACAATTTTGAGCGGTGCATTAGTCTTACTAAAACGTCACTAGTAAAAGTTTATTTAAATGATAACCAAGGAAAGCTAGAACAACCAAACCACCCGTGTAACGAATAAGCCGGATTTGGTGCTAGGGCATAAAACGGCCCGCGTTTCTATAAGCTACGGAGCAGAATCAGGAACGGTTTTAGGAAGAAAACGCGAGGCGTTTGAGATTGAGCCTGGAAGCGGGGGTGGTTTCAGATTTGAGCGCATTCACGCAGTCGAATCCGCAGCCGCACTCAGGACTCTCGTAGAAGCTGTCGATCGGGAAGCAGGCGGAAGCGATTCCGACGGAAAAGCAAAGCTCATCGCCGTCGTTAGTGACCTCGATGATGTTTATCCAGAAGAACAGTATCTTCACCTGCACGCCGCCGAGGTCGGAGAGCTTGTCCTTGGCGATCTTCCCGGTGATGGTGCTCTTGTACTTGAGCTCGTATCCGTCTATTTTGAAGCTGCAGGATTCTTCCAGGTAGACAGAGAACTCGCCGGAGCTGGTGTCCAGCTCGTAGCTCGTCACGCCCGTCGGGAGAAGGCCGACCGGGAAGTCGTACTGCTGCAGCACCTGGTACGCAGTCAGGATGCTGTCGCCGGCGGCCTGCGGGACGGCGAAGAGGAGAGCGAAGCAGGAGAGGAGTACGGAGAGCAGTTGAACTGAAGACGCCATTTTCTACGGTCAACTTGTGAGGAGAGTAAAGTTATGGCAAATACTGGCAGTGGAAGCAACGACTATGTGATACTATTTCAATTTTGACTACTTATTTGAGGAAGGATGAGGACTGGGAAAAACCAAAGTGGTAGTTGGAGCCCAAGGTAGATAGAGGGGTATTTTAGTCTTTTATCCCCAGATACTTGGGTAACTAAACTAGTCAACTTTGCCTTCCACGAGTTAATTATACAAGTCCTTTGGTTATTGTATTCTTATTATTTTTTATTATTTCCCTAAGCTATCAATTCCCTATATATACTATATAGTACAGTAACTGACTACTTCATTTCATTTATTATTATTTATTTATTATTATAATAGCAAGAAATCAGGCTTTGAAGATGGAGTTGTTTGAAGCATTAAGTTAGGCGAATGGACATATGATAACTTGAATGGATATGAGTCGAGAGACAATGACTTTCACGCCACAATTTCACGTGCTCATTGTTAACTAATTTTTAGGTGAAAATACATGAAGAATCTAATCAAATTTTAAGTTACCTACTAAAAGATCATTAACAAAAATTAAATTTATGACTTTCTAATATGAAAATCATATTCTACTTATTTGATTACCTCATTAAATTTATGACTTCCTAATTTTAAAATCATATTCTTTTTTTTTTTGGTGGAATTTAAAATCATATTCTACTTATTCGATTACCTTTTTTAGGCAATTAATATTCGCATAGTTGTTTGTTACTTGAGATCAATAGTAGAACAACAGTACAAGAGCTATAAACCAAATCTAAGTTTCATAAAATTGACTCCTATAGCCCTATTTATACTACGAGTTCTACTATATAGTACTCCCAAATTTTACTCCTTCACTTTTACTCTATAATGTAGCAAACAAGAATATGATATTTTTATCAGTGAGAGAAAATAAAAGTTGTAAGTAAAATGTGAGAGTCCATGTAGTATTTTCTTATATACTACCGTACTTTGAAATTCTAAACATTACATGTATGTAATCACAATAGATCTTCTGCATTTGTTGGTTGCTGCGCCTACTAAATGTTACAGTATTTAATTATTTATACGGTTAAAGGATGAGGTTTAATGTATCAGATAAACATGCTTAGGTTACGTATTTAAGCTGTCAAAAAAAAAAAAAGGTTACATATTTAAACTTTCACATCTAGACCACTATTTGGACCGCTTTCAAATCTAGAGGAGTCTAATATCCAATATTTCACAACTATATATTGTTACTCTACCCAAATGAAAGAAAACTTACATATAAGAAAGATAATTATCTCACAAATAAGGATTATATATATATATGTGCTCATTCATGTAAAAACTTGCTTAACGTGAGTCCGTGTGAATAATTACACGAGTATACACATTTTATTACATGAGTGCACACTAACTATACCCAAACATGCTTGGATAACCGTAGAAACCTTGGGAGTAATTAGGAATTTGTTTTTCAATTGGCAGTGGTGCATATTGTGGTTGTTTCGGTGCATTTATGTACTAGAAATATGTGCACTTATGCAATTCTCAATTCTCATGATCTCAAACTATATATGTACAGCCTTCTAATGAAGTTAAAATTCGTAAATTCATACCTAATTACTTCTGACCTCAAACCTTGTCTTTAGGCAAGGCACTGAAGGATTTGAAGTAAAAAAAAAAAAAAGATCGCTAAAAGACATTATAGCGTGTTTAATGAGAGGATTGAGGAATTGTGTGCACCAAACAGTGGATTTGGTTAGCCTTTTACGAAAGATGAATTTGATAAACATGCAATGCAGACCACAAAACAAGTCAAAAATTTCTGCAGGGACAGCGAAATGTATGAGAATGTTAAATCAACGCAGACGAATGCCTCCTAGGAAAAAGCATTGCGTCTGCAATTTCAAAGCATATAGTATTTCTCCTATGAAGCAGTCTTGAAACATTGTACACAATAGAATAATCACCATTACCACCTTCGTCAGTACTATCATCAAAAATAATTCTCCTATGCATCATTGTCTCTACCTTCTGCACGAATGGGTGATAACACAAGAATATAAGTGTTTAAAAAAAAAAAAAAATCCCAAAAGCAAAGGGAACAGAAAAGAGAGAAAAAATATCCAGGTGTTAATTGAAATTAAATACTATAATTTACCAGGTGCTAGAAAACAGAATACATTACATGAGCACAATCGAACAAAACAAAAAATATATTATTGGGTGACATGAATTTGAAGAAATTAATATTAATACAACAATAAAAGGGTAACTGCAAGAATTGAAGGTAAGCAAATGCTAGGAAAGTTTCATTCAAATGCTTTGACATAAATTCAATGAGTAATCGAGACAACTATGAGTAGAAGAGTACGTACAGAGGTTTAATGAATTTTAGTTCACGTCCTTGAGCCTTTTTATCAATTGATCAAGAGATTTCTTCTTTGTGTTTTGTTTTGCTCCCCTAGTTCCAAATGATCCAAAGAGACGATCTGATTGATCACGCATCTTCTCTGAAATTGCCACTACTTTTCGGTAGTCCAAGGCATTATAGCTCCTCTCTCGAATTACTGGATTCAGGAAATTTTCAGGGTGATTGCTTAAGAGTAAATTGACCAATTGTCTTGACTCAGCCAGACCTGCTTTCAGCTGATTTGCATCTGCATCAGATAGAAGAGGAGCTTGGTTCTCAGCAAATGATTCCAACAGCCGAATATCCACATCAAGACCCATGATGGCATTGATGTTAAACCTTTTAACAGATTCACCTAGCAATGCCCCAACTACCATTTCTGATATGTGAGCAAGAACATCTTGCATAACTCTTTTGAGAACTGGAACCGGCAATATCTGCTGAGCAGTAGAGACAAGAGTTTCCAGGAAAATAATGACCTCATTTGCATATTCATTTCCCCCTTGAGGAGGATCATCAGCCATCCAATTTACATTCTCTATCAGCATGAGAAACCCATCAACCTTTTGCTTAAGCAATCCAGACAGCATCTCCTCAGCCTTATCACTGGCTTTAGTCAATGGAAACTGCCTCCTGCCCCTCTCCACCATTCTCAACGGAATCCCTGAAAGTTGTGCAGCATGGCGAAAGAAGAAATCACAAGCCCGTTCAAACACTGCCATATTTGCTGCCATCTGCATAGCTTGAGTAGCACCAGTAATTGAGGTATCGATAAGTTTCAATAAAGCTCCATCTAGGGCCTCAGTCAAAAGACGGTCCAAGTATTTCTTCACCATATTGTAGAAATCAAGCTGTCCGCCATATGACATAAAACTCACCGAATCCTCAATAAATGACCGTACAATTCTACAGCAATCAGGTACCATGGAAGAAAATGGTGCAACATAAGGAAATGCAGGGACGATATTAGATATTTGCAGCTGAAAGGAAAGAACATTCATCGAGTACTCATATTCCTTTTTCATATACATTTGCTCGAGCTTGTCAGCAGCAAGAGCCTCAGATATCTGCTTACGACAATCAGACAACAGGAGTTCATGATATTTATCCCTATGCTTGCTCAACACATCAAGCAAAGCATCAATCGGGTATCCATAACGGCGCAATGTTACTCCAAGCAAACTCACATAGTCCTTTATCAGCAGCAAATGGTTAGCAGTTTGCATCCTAGAAAATTGATCTTCTAAAACAGAACACATCTTACTAACAGCAGTGTCCCATAAATTCTCCACCTCCACTTTAGATATCAATCCACCACCAGTCCTCAAAACACGATCCTCAACAATAAAAAATCCAGCAATTTGTGCAAAAAACGTTTGATGAGATTCGAGAAAGGGCGTCATTGATGATACCTGGAAATCAGAAGTCAATTG